TAAACCCGAAACCCCTAACCCCTAAGCCCCTAAGCCCCTAAACCCAAACCCTTAAACCCATAAAAAGAGCCCTGTTTCTTGCGGATTGGAGCTCCCAAGCAGCCTGCGAAGACCGCGGAGCTGCCTCGTATAGGGTGTCGTAGCCCCAGAGCATTGGGCTTAGGGTTTAGGGGTTTTTTTGGTTCAGGGATTAGGGGGGTTTAGGGTTTAGGGATAAGACTGCAAGCTCTTCGACCTGGGGACTGCTCATGTGGATGTATAAGTCAAGAAAGTTGAGCGTCGTTCTGTATCCTTGTGTTTTGTCGATGTGCCGGTGTGGGCCATGCTATGCCGGGCCACCACCATTTCTTCTGTGCCGAATGGCGCCGCTTGCGCAAGGCCCGCATCCATAGAGTCTTAGAGGCGCTAACTGCTAACCTAACCGACTCCCGAGCCGGCCCGACTGTTTCTTGGTGGCAGGTTCTGGTCATCGAGGACGAGGCACGGCTTCTTGTCCTGGCTTTGTCGTCGGGTCCTGTGATGCGAGTAGCACCATTCAGCACCTCGACGTGCCATCTAGTCTGCCAGGTGCTCTTCGATCTCGTGGCCGGGGCACGAAGCCCGGAGGAGGTGCTGCTGGACTTCAGTGGCGGCCCTCGGCTGTTAGACTTTTTTTGGGGCGTTGGGAGGACGTTTCGGCCGCGAGGATGTGGAGAGCGATTTGATTGTCGAATGTGATCCCGCAGTTGTGCGGCTCTCCAAGTCTCCGAGGCACCGAGTTCACCAAGCAGCCGGCACCTTAGGAGTTTCCTTCTTGGCTGATTTGTTTTGTTGATGCGTGAACTTTGGGGAAGCTTGGGTTCTGTTCTTCTGTCCTGTGATCTTCAGGAACAGCTTGCAGGGTTGGAGAGTGGAGGTCGACGAGGACTGATGGCCGCCTGATGCATCCTCAAAGGCCGCTGCGTCCGGCACCAGGACCTCTTCAACCACATCAACGAGCTCGACGAAGCCGATCGCGCGGGTGCCCAGTGCCGAGTGAAGAACTGGATGGAGCCAAGCCCACATCAGGCGCAGATGGCTTTGCTAGTGGGCTGCCACGCGGAAGGAGCCGGGGGGCACAAGTTGCCAGAGCTTGCAGTCCGAGCCAATCTCACCCCTTACCGTGAGTGCTTCGTGCCTGCTGTCGAAGGAGCACTTTGTCCCGGGAAGCTACGAAGAACCTGGGTCGAGGAGGGGTGCCGGCAAATCCTCGCGGACCTCTGAGAGGTGAATCTGTGGAACCAGGTCGGTCCGCCTCGCCGCGGTCGGGCTCCCCGCCCTCTTCCTCAGTGGCGGAAGGTCGAGCCGAATAATTCTTTTCCGTTGTGCCTTCTGAGGCTGTTTCGTGGTGCATCCCGGCGCCTGCAGGCTTGCAGGCTCGCTTCCATTGCCACATCTTAGCCCATCTCAGCACCTCCTAAGCCCTAAGCTCTTCTGTGGCCTTTGGGGGGAGCTTTCGTGGAGTTCCTTGCGCGAGGGCCTCGTCCCCGAGCCGTGTGCCGGGCGCCCGGAGACATCCTGAGACAGCGCGTTTGAATTGACGGTTTCTGGAGGAGAGAGGAGTCCCTTTGGGGCATTTTTTCAGCCTCTCTGGCGCCCTTAGGGCGTCGCAGCAATGCTTGACGAACCCGAAACCATCCGACAGAGAAAAGTCACCCCTAAGACAGTGCGCCGCAAGTGGAGTTGCACTGCCCGGCACTGCAGGGCCACTCGCACACCGACACCCGCCCAACGGTCGCCGTTGCAGCGCGTGGCGACGACCACGAGTCTGGCAAAGACCCCAGACACCTCAGAATTTTTGAGTACCTTTCAGGGCGCCAGACACCTCCCTATAAACCCTAAACCCTATAAACCCTACAAACCCTATGAGCCCTCATAGTTTTGAGGACCCTTCCTCTTTGGCGCCTGGAGGCCCTTATGTTTAGAAAGGCACGGTCAGTGCGGCGGAGAAGTTTGCAGGGGTCCTCGTTGTGCTCCCAGTGGTCCCAGTGTTTCTGAGAAGCTGGAGCTACCGTGAAGTTGCGGTCAGCCTTCCTTCGTATTTCCGTATTGCTGTGTTTGAGCGCATGCCATGCTCTATTCAACCTGGCTTTCTCGTTATGACATCATGTGCGGATCTGTGCTTTCCTTCTGAGCTTCGAGGTCATCGGCGCACAAGCGACGACTGGCAATGGGCCATCGAGGCGGCGACGGCTCGGCAGATCCGGTTCACTCGGTGGAAGCTTGCCTGGAGGCCTATGCTCTTCATCAACGAGCAGTGTTGGCCTCAGGCTAATGAGCGGGCATCCAAAGCGCAAAATATGTACATATATATATATACACACACACACACACACATATATATATATACACATGCATGCATAGATAGACTGCTGGTTGACGTCACCTCGGGCTTGTCCCTTATGCGGTTTTCTTGAGGTTGAGGCTCGGCTCAGCTTGTTGCATGTTACGAGAGTACGTTACGCTCTATGGGCCTATGACTGGGCACCAGCATCTATGTCAAAGTCGCAGCGACAGATGCTTCTGCGACGTGATGCATGGGAAGGCCTTTGCATGATCACTGTGCCACGCTAGATAGCATGAAAAATAGGTACTGTACAAACTACGAATAGCAGAGTATGTGCCGGTAGCATACCAGGGAACAGCACAGACCAGCCTAGCTTTTAAGACAATGGAATATTTCGGTTACAACACAGCATACTACAACATATTAAAAGCATAGTAATATACTACAGCAATATAGAATAGTAATATCGTGTAGCTAGTGTAGTGTAGTATAGTAGAATATGGTATAGTATAGTACAGTATCGCAAGAAAAGAAATTTATAACATACTGCAATGTACTGCAATGTAGCAGACTTTCTAGTGCAGTGCAATCTAGCATAACGCCGCCTAGCATAACATGGCATAATGAGATATACTGCATTACTAGTCTAAGTTACCGGCATCGTAGCTTAAAGTCACTGTCTAGTGCATTCTTTCATTGTGTACTGCTATACATCGTATCGTATTTCATCGTATTGTATTGTAGTGTTTTGCATCGTATTGCATTTTCCTTGTTACATTAACTTATCTTCTGTTGCATGATGTTACAAACGTAAAGACTACATAGATAGATATAAACATACACTCCTTTATGGAAATCAAGAAGTACAGATGTATGTATATATATATACAACATATATTTGTTGCTATGACAGTGTAGGTTGGGAGAAAGCCGAGGCACCCGCTTGCACACCTTCCAGATCCCCTCGGCCGGGGGCCCTGGGCATCGGAGATCTTTACAGCCAGAGATCTCGACAAATCCGAGTTTCCGATAATTAGGGTACCTTATTTTGGGGTCCTTATAACAAGGAGCCTACTGTTTAGGGTACTATATTAGGGCCCCCTAGGTTCGGAAAACTCTAAATATGATGCTTTGCGCCCACACGTGCAACCACGTGGCTGCGCCACTGCAAGCTCATGCAACATGGGGCCTTCGGCTGCACGTTTATACACTATTCTGTCTATACTCTTTTTTGAAGTATACAGACTTTTCGGTGACGGTGCTGTAGCACTGCTGCCATGTTGCAGAGTCCGTATAGTTCTTTCTGGCCATGTATCGTCTTGCTCCGCAAATCTTGAGGTCGCGACGACTTCGTTGTCGAGCTTCGGAGGTGAGGGGTGAACTTTATGAGATGGTGCTGACTGTGTAGACCAGCATCAAGATACCCGGATACTCCGAGTTGACCTGCGAGCTCCCCTTAGACCGATATGCCGAGATAGAGTTAGCAAGCTGGAGGCTACGAGTGCGGCTGTGCCCGTCGCTTTGCAGTGTGAGGCGGCTGCGTGTCCCTCGGCTCTTTGGCAAAGAGGCCCGGGAGCACGGCGAGCGTGCAGGAGGCCAGGGAAGCGAGCCGAGGGCGTTGGAGCCGAAGTTTCTGCGAGAGTTCTTTGCACTCAAAAACTTCAAAGGCGCCGGCTTGGGCCAGGTCCCGTCCCGAGTCGCGATTCGCGAGCTGATCAGCCTTTGGCATGGACTCCCTGTGCAGGGCGAGCCGATGTTGACGGTGGAGGACCGGTCTGTTCCCACTTCCAACATTTCATGCTGCAGGCATCAGTCCGGATTTCTTCTCTGAGCCAAGCTTATGCGGCATCGACCTTGGCTCCCAAACATCTCCGAGGAGTGCGAGGATCTCTTCGATGTCTTGCTTCAGATGCCGCGTGCTTGGACTTGGACCAGGGCATGTAGACTTAGCCCTGACGACAATGGTGTTTTCTGCAGAAGGGATCTACCAAGTGTGAGAACAAAGACAAGAGCAGCAAGCAACATCCAGAATGACACCATCAGTGCATCCCGAGTGCCTCATCTCGCGCATTTATGCAAACGTGGGAGCCAACAGCACCGACCATGAACATTTTGACTGATGCTGGTAATGCAATCATGGATCATGGCGTTTGAAGCTTGGAAGCATAGTGGGCCTAAGCCCTATACCCCCATACCCTAAGCCCGAAGTTGAACCCCAAAGGCTACGCCCGAAGTTAAAACCCCAAGCCCTAAGCCCGAAGTTTTTCAAGAGTGATGTCAAGCATGCCAAGATCACGCTGAGGCAGAAGATGGCCGGCACAGCCCACAGCAATCCGGGGAGCTTGTCGTTCGGATAGCCGAGCCGGCCGGCTTTGGGGTCAGTGTTCAATGCCCTTGTCATCTTTCGCTCATGGTGCCCTGTAGGGTTTAGGGTTCAGGGTTGAGGTACTTGTTTGCTACTGGATATCGGTCTCGAGCCCTGTATTTAGCTTTAGATGAACCTGTCTAGGGTGGTCTGCTCTGGCTGTCCCGGTCCTGCTTGGAAGCTGCTAAAGTAGTCAATGCCGTGGGCCATTGGTAGCAGGATACCTAAGGCTTCTATCGCCGCACAACTCAGATGATCCGGTAGTCGTAAGAGCTATGGCTACGACCCGTCTCCCTGTGCATGGTTGTGTGCCGTGTAACAGATGCCCGTAAATAACAGCTGCTTGCTACTGCGGAAAAGAGGCCTGTTGCCGAAAAGGTCCCAGCCACTTCCTCCACTTCAAAAGACGAGTTGGGCGATGACTGTGAGGAGGATGACCATGGTGATGACGATGACGATGATGATGCTGATGATGAGGAGGAGGAGGAGAGGAGGAGGATGTTGATGACGACGATCAGCTAAAAAGATGCCAATGATTCTGCCGTGGGGCTGGTGTTGCTGATGGCATGAGGCGAGAACGAACTTGCTGTGAAAGGGCAACACAACACAGGGCGTTTTAGTCGAACTCGGTGAGATTTCGCCTGTGCTTTGGGACACTTGACACAGTGAGTTCAACACTCAAAGGCGCTTGTGGCCCTAGCCGGCGTCTTGAGCATCCTATGGCTGCTCCCTGCTCACCACCCCAACGCGCGTTTCTCTCCAAACCAGCAGCTAGTTAGCAACAGTTGCCTTGGGAGTGACAGCGACAGGCAAAAGCGACCGGAATTGAGCAAAGAGAGTATGGGGGAGGCAGGTGGGGGAGCCTCAGAGAAACGACGGGGCGAGGGCCAACAGGGTGACGGTTGGCCCAGTGATCGACGTGACGTGAGAGTAATAAAAATTGAAAAATGACACCCGCTTGTGTGAATCCTTAGAGTGGATTGCAGAGGTCATCAGGTGTAAGACGTGTTGTGACTGATAGCACTGCTAGCACTGCGACGAAGTGCATGATGCTGATAGACTTAATTCTAGGGATGATCACAGACGGCTATGCGAAGGATGGCAAGAGGACAAGCGCAACGAGAGCAAAGAACTTGATACCATCGCACCAGAGCCGATACAACCATCATGATGGTTCAGGTATACAGTATAAGCACAGCAGTCTCGCTTGTAGCTACTACTTGCGATTCAGTGCTTACCGTTGCTACTCTGATCTTCCTGCCAGCTCCATGGACGCCACTGTGGAATCTTTTCTGGGGCTCTGCTCGCTGGCGCCTCAGGTGGCAAAGCGTCATATATATAAATAAATATAAATAAATAAATAAATATATATATATATACATATATATACATATATATATAGGAAGTATCTTGTTATCTTGCTGGTTCACCCACTCATGTTGTTCAGGCAGTTGCTTGTCGCATCGTTTCGGATGCGCATCATGACAGTTGATCCTGTTCTTGTCGTAATGCTGATTGCCAGCATTAACAATACTCTTAGTTATGTCAGTGGAACTTCCTTGCATTTTTCGTGACAAAGAATTTGATGTCGATTTCGATAGTCAGAGTGGCGGGATGATGGTGATGGTTAGGGTGACGACGAAAATGGTGCGTCTTGGTTGATATGCCCCCCCTTCGTACTCGTATAGAATTATAGTACCTTTACAGTGCCATTTTAAGCACCCTCTGAAGTACCATTTACAGTACGAGATAGTACCCGCACATTTCCTTACAGCACCTGTTGTACCCTTCAAGTATCCTTTTGGTATCCATATAGTACACTGAACGGAAATCCCATAGGTGTGGGCGTCTCAGGGTAGCATTGCAAATCCTGGGCCTGAGGCTCCGGAAAGCCATGGAGCGCGGGACGCCGTCCCTCAATGCCTTCCTGGGCAGCTTAGAAGTGCAGGAGTGTGAGTGGACGCCGGCACCAGTTCTTGGATTGAAGTTGCCACATCATGCCCAACTGGAGGAGATGAAGTTGATCGACCCCACATTGATGCGGCAGTTCTTGGTACAGGCTAGTCACAGGCCCGGCGCCCGCCCAGGGTGTCTGCAGAGCCTCGCTTCACAAACCCCGGCTAGCGCTTTTGTTCCGAGCAGGCTAGCAGGAGAAGGTGGTCTTCCAGGCACCGGCTGACACCTGTTTGAGGCAACAACAGTAGCAATGGAAGTAGCATTATCGCAGAGTCACATTTGGTTCGTGGATACTCTAGCTCTGTCTGCCATGATCACTGGTGATGCTGATGCGAGATGTATTGATGACGGTAACTCTTCCGTCGCATCATCTATAGCATCATCCTCTTCATCTCCAGCAGCAGCACCAGCATCAGCACCAGCATCAGCATCAGCACCTGCATCAGCACCAGCACCTGCATCAGCATCAGGACCAGCACAATCATCAGCATCATCATCATCATCATCATCATCTTCATCTTCATCTTCATCTTCATCTTCATCTTCATCTTCATCTTCATCTTCATCTTCATCACCATCATCATAATCACCATCAGCATCACCGT